ACCAAATATAACTATTTGTAATGTGTCAAAATTCTTTCAGAGGAAAAAGCTCAACATGGCATCAGACAGTCTTATCTTTTCTGACATTTAGGCATCTCATTATAGATGATCGGTAAAGAAAGTTGGTTAATGGTATTCTGTTTGAATTGGATTTTCTACCAGTTGTGTTTTACTTACTGACTTACTTACTTACATCGACGCCTAGTTTAAAAATAGGAAGTGAAGTGGTAGAGCACGTTGACCGCTTCACTTATTTGGGAAGTACCATCAGCCAGTGCCAACGGGCTGATCTCTGACGAAATCTCAGCACGAATACAAGGGGCTCGTTTCGCATTTGTTAGTTTACGCCGACTCTGGCGTAGACGAGATGTTTGACTATCGACCAAAGGGCGGGTGTACTGCTCATCAGTCCGCTCCGTCCTCCTTTATGGCTGGCTGTGAGACCTGGCCACTGAGAGTGGAAGACATGAAAAGACTAGCTGTCTTTGATCATAGGTGCCTGCGTTGTATTTCCCGTGTAAAGTGGCATAATAAGGTGAGCAATATTCAGGTTAGGCGTAGAGTTCTAGGTAAACAGGGGAAATCAATCGACGTGGTCGTGAAGCTACAAAGACTGAGATGGTTAGGACATGTGTTACGTATGCCAAGCCATCGCCTCCCTCGACAACAGCAATGTTAGCTGATATAGGGTCAGGCTGGAAAAAAGCTAGCGGCGGTCAAACAAAAACTTGGCTTCACCAGTCAATGAAATCCACAACAGTTGGTCTTAGCCACGTAGAAAGGTGTAGACTTCCAGGCTGGGGTACTCGGGACGGTAAAAATCTATGGTTGGAAACAATTGGTGACATGGCTCAAAGTGATCGTTCTCAATGGCTGACGCAGATGCATCCACTCCTTGTGACTTATGATCTCCAATGAAACTGTTTTGTTCTTCCTTACTTTATTCCTTTGTCTCGCACCTCTGCTCACTGTCTCTATTATGCTTTTCTTGTACTTTCTTCTCTTGCTTCACGTGCTACACGGAGTGTGGCGACTTGAACTTCCGCACATTTGTGCAAAGTTCTATGTCGAAAACAGACAGACAGACAGACTTACTGAACACTTCTCAGCTTACTGTGAAATGTCGGTTGTTTCACTAAGAATCACAAGACGGCACCAGATTAGAATCTTCATAATGAACATATCTCATTTAATGTTTAGAAATTATAGGCTAAATATATATTCGATTTCACCACATGTTTGTAGAGGTAGATAACTTTAAATTCAATACTATATACCTGAAAACATTGACCTTGAAATAAACATGGCATTTTGAACGATCACTTAATTATAGCTATGTCTGTGTTTTGGAAATAAACGTCAAATAAATCCTTAGATAGGTTGGAGGATTTCATCATGAGCTGATTTCAGTTAGAGAATCATTGAAAAACCACCTGGGAGTACTGGAATCTTGTTTCATCCTAGTTTGGGACTCTTCACCTGATGCTCACTAGTGAATGGCCCCATTCAGGCAGTGACCTGGCTTTCTAGTGCAAAGTTGTGACTAAGAGGGTACATTAGGTTGAAGGTGAGATAGTAACTCATCGAAGAAGACATTACGAAGTGGTCAGGCTATGTCATGAATTGGCAGAAGGTAGAATTCATGGCCTGTCCATCCAATAAAGCTATATGGTTCGTCGATATTACTATTCATTTTGCCTCATATCTCTGTTTGCCTCTGATTTGCATTTCTTTCTACTTTCTTCTCTTGCTTTCTGTGCTACATAAAGGGAGAGTGGCGACTCGAACTGGTACACACCTGTGCAAAGTTCTATGTTCAAAACCAGTCAGTCACATTTAATATTAAAGCATTTCTCCGAAAAAGTATTAATGAGCTTGACCTGAACAGTCTACAATGACTGACTGAAATGAGGTGAACACGTAGTTGTCTCACTTGTAGTTCAGTACACAGTAGCTCAAGATCAAATGGCCAGAAAAGATCAGCAACAGGGATCTCTGGCAATGAGCGAACCAATCAGGAACCGATTGTGAAACAAATAGGCAGAAAGAAATGGAGATGGATTGGCCATACGCTGAGGAAACCATCAAGTGACATCACTAGACAAGCCCTCGAGTGGAACCCGAAAGAGAGGCGGCGAGTTGGTCGTCCAAGGGTGACTTGGAGGAGGTCATGCGAGGAGGAGATGAAAGCATGTGGACAGACCTGGAGCAGGGTGAAAAAGTTGTCAGAAAACCGAAGGCAATGGCGGTGCGCAGCTGAAGCCCTATGTTCCTCTAGGAACAATAATAATAATAATAATACACAGTAGCTCAGTTGGCAAATCACCAATAACTCGACCGTAGCAACAGCAACTGATATCATGTTATTGTAAAACTTCGCTTTCTTCTCAGACAAATATTTATCAGATGCAGTTTCACGTATATAATAGACACCACCACACACAAACACACGAATTACTTGGCAATACTACCGTTTGCATGATTCAACTCTACACATTATGTAATACTTTAAAAATATCTAATTACACTTGTAGATCACCTCTACAATAGTGAGTCGATAATATTCAAAATTCATACACTGTATGTACACTATTCATATAACTGATATGTATGCGTTAATCGATATGTGCATGTTTGTTTGCGAGCATTAATCTGTGCGTTAATGTAACTCACATACAATCTGTGTAACAATCTACATTTTTTATGTTACAATATTTTCAAGTTAAATTACCAGTTGACATCTCAGTTACAGAGAACCAGTGAAGACCGTCAGGAGGTACTGAATAGCTGATTCATTCTAGTTTGAGACTCTTCTATAGTATGCACGAATGAACCAGACAGGAAGTGAAACTACTGGACGAGTCTGTTGATCATTTAGCCGATTGGGACGGAATTCAATAGTCAATAAATTCTAACTCTCGCTAAGTCACGATTATATATACACAAAGCGCCAACGCCAACAAACGTCATCAGTGAGTATTTATCCTGACATCCGACTTATAGTGTAACGACAGAAGACAAGGGGGCCAGGCAACAGATCGTTTATTGACAACATCAACAGATATTTATAGATTTTTATGTACATTATTATTCATTATTGTTAGCAGAGAAACGGTGCCTTCTGATTGGTCGTTTTCTCACTGAAGTTATTCTATCATCTATTTTCTGGCCACTTCTTTGAAGGCGAATCGTGTCCGCCCACGCAAAGTCTGCTGTTATTGGTTGTTGCGTTAGTCTTTGTTCTTGTTCTTGTTTCTCATGATCAAGGTTTGTGACGTAAACATTGACGTAAATTGCTGACTACCAATTATGGCTAGCAGACAGCTCTCACCACAACACGACCCTAGTAACCACGACTTCACAATGGTTACAGGATATAGTTGCCTGAAGGAGTTCGATTGAGAAGCTATGACCAGTGGGGTCTACCAAATAGGATATGAAGACGAATAATTACCAATGACAATGGCTAGAGATAGCACTAGATACATCGCGAATCGGCAGGAATAAGAATTCATGGGCTGATAAAGTTCAGTTATCATAGCCAAAGTCATGGTTCGTCAAAAGTGAACCTTCAAGAACCAAACAGATTTAGGGAATACTACGAAAGCTAATTGCATTTCATATCTCGCCTGTCTTTATGAATTTGGTGAATGAGTTCAGTGAGGATAGAGTAAATCTATGCCGTTAGATAGGATGTCAACAGTTAGGTTAAAGAACAAGGGTAAAGAGTATCAATGGATCCCAGAGAACACCAAGACTTACAGTCACCTGGATGAATACAACTATCGTGAATAGTATAATCCCTCTAGGGATTATCCTTGGAGTACCTGTGAGACATTCTCAAAACAAATAAAGAGGCAACTACGCAGTTAAAATGTCCTATTAGCAATGTTTTTTCAATACTTTCTTTTCCAAAGATTATGTGACTTTTTGCATTTCACTCTTGACTGGTTGTTCAGGGTCATTGTGATTTCAGCTATGATAGTTTAACTTCGCCCATGTATCAGCTATTGAATTCTATCCATCCAATGCCGCCCAGGAACCTGAAGGTCTTGGATTCGACCCTTAGTCAGATCATGGATGAATTCTGACTGACTGTTTTCAGCACAGAACATCGCACATAGGTGCAACAGTTCAAATTGCCCAACTGACAGTTGCTAACCTGATATCGTGATGGTCAAGCTTGTATATCCCGATAACCCAACAAGCTACACTGGCTGGAACTAATGTTGCTGTAGGTCCTACCATGCTGCGAAGATTTTCAGGATATAGATTAGACTAAAAGCAGTTACCGGCATAATGTACGCTTTTGTTTACACTATGTCAGGGGTCTTTGAACAAAGTCGTGCTGCTCAGGAACAGGGTTATTACATCAGTAAGGTGTTTCTCTCAGATGACCAGCGTGCCGACTATGCTGTCTCTTGACTCGGGGGAGAGGCGGGGGTTAGAAAAGGTCTATACCAAAAATTGTACATCCCAACTTATCCTACGGTGGTCCATAACCGGGGGGTAAATTACTAAAGAGGAATCCCCACACCGGCGGCCTTAGGCAGTTGTCCCCTGAGCTCTGAGGTCTCACGATATTAATTCTTTTTCTGTTTCAAGTACCCTAGGAAGTAACAACCACCCACACAATATCAAAAAGCACACGAAGTCCTCCTGAGAATCTCAAACAACTACCCAGTACTCCCTGATACTTTTTAATAATTCTTTAACTGTGATGCGGAGATCAATCATCAAAACATTTACAAAAATCAATAATTGAAAACTACAATATTTTATTCACAGTTCAGTTAATCAATCAATCAATAAAAGATAATAATAACCTGAGTTCGAATTTGAAGAAATACACAAACAAAATAGAACTAAAACAAGTAGGGGGGGGGGGTAAAAAATCTTGGCATCAAATAATCCAACTAAAAAAATTAACATCTCAAAATAGTAAAAAGAAAACTAAAATTCCTGAGAACATTGATTTCATATCAGCACCACCATCCTTGTCACTTAGCACTGAAATAACGCGGAAGAAATAAATCGTAAACTTTGCCTTTAATAACAGAAGATTCTCTGTGCGGGGTTAATTCGTCATTGGACAGCACTGTTGAATGATTGTGGATGAGTTGAATAATTTTATGTGTAAATGTAGTGATATGTATCTCGTGATCATGATTGAAGGTTTTTGATTCATTCAATGATACAACTGTATGTACATGAGCAGATAATAATAACTGAGATATATTCATCCATTTACAGTCAGCAATTTCCTACATAGAGAGAAATATATACATTTTTTTATTTTTTATTTTTTTATTTTTGATTACAGCTTGATTCCACACCGTATTTTGGTACAAGTGTGGAATTTTCAGCGTGGATATCGGTAGCCCAAAATTCGCAGGCCGACCATAGATATCAGGTGTGCGTCGGCGTGGGCTCGAACCCCGGACCATGTGCATGGTCATCGAGACTCATAACACTGTGCCACCGACGCACATGAATTATTAAAAAGACAGTTGCAGTGAAGACAATTTTCAGGATTTCATCATGAGCTGACATTAGTTAGAGAACCATTGGAAAACAACCTGGGAGTACTGCATAGCTGTTTCGTCCTAGTTTGGGACTCTTCAGCAGTACGCACTCACCTCCAGGGTTCGAACCCAGGCCTTCTGGTTACAAGGCAAGTTCGTAGACCATTAAGACACTGGGACCCGATCCAATGGCTAGCCCATGAAAACTAACTTCTTCCAATTCACGACATAGCGCGACCGCTAGCCAATGTCTTCGCTGGCAAGTATTTGTCCTCACACCTGACCCGCTGCACCCTACTGGTCACGACTTCCCACTGGAACCCAGGTAACTAACTACCTACCTGAATAGGGCTAGTCGCCAGTGAGAATCTCATTGGTATTCAAGTGTTGGTTTGTAGGGATTTGATTGGTTTCAGGATTTCATCATGAGCTGAAATTAGTTAAAGAACCATTGAAAAACCTGCAGTAAGTACTGGACAGCTGTTTCGTCCTACTTTGGGACTCTTCATCAGTACGCACTCACCGGGATTTACTTTTTGATGAAGTAATCATTAACTACGAGGCTGTGTGCGTCGGTGGCATAGCGGTTAGGACGCTCGCCGACCATGCACACGGTCCGGGGTTCGATCCCCGGCCGGTGCACTCCTTTACCTCGCTAAGCCACTAGTGAGACTGGTGAAGAGGAAAGGTTTGGCATGAGGCTGGCTAGCAACCCCATCCTGTAAAAATAATCACCACTGCTATAGAAACTTCAAGCATCTAGCTTGGAGTCCTATGTTCCACCGGGAACGTGCAGGAAAATAAGCAAACGAGGCTGTGTACATTCGCGTACTTATTGAGTAAATAGGTGAGAAAGTTCCACAATTATTTTCGATCGGTCAAAGGTTAAATTAATAAAATTACAAAGCGTAATAAACAGAAAGATCGGCTAGAAAAGAGCATAGTACAATCATAATTACTGAGAAACTTATACTCGTTTACTCTCTTTCCTGAAGGATCCGGAAAATACGCACTGAGAAGTCAATTGACAAATAATTGAGAAATCCTCAAAGAAAGGTTACTGAACAAAGAATACTCTTTTCGATAACCTACTCATCATCAGGCTCTACAGTTATATATCCATCCATAATAGTGAATGAATGAATTAGTGTTATGAACAACAACGTTAATGTTGTTTAAATAACATCGAATCAACAATAATAATATCACTGGATTACAGTTAAACTGAATGTCAGATAAAATTAGGAAAGATAATATTACAAATTCACGAATTTTTAGTCTATACTGAAGGCCAGCCAGAGCAGTAGAAGTGGCTAGCTGAATTTGCTTCTTTTGAACACAGAGCACTGGTTGTTTGAGGCGAATTGCAATAGCCTCTGCTGTTTGGAGCATGCGGTGCTTCGATGATTTCGGCAATTTATCAGGCACCCGGTAGATTATAGAGAAGGATTCTTCCACGCTGGCTTTGTGGCCGGTTTGCACCAGATGGTCTAATATCGAACTGTTAATGGTTTTAACTACACCTTTACTTAGCCATAGTGGGAGATGTTCCCGAGCTAGCAACGGCCAATATAATTACCTCCATCACATGCGCAGTTGATTTCGTAGATACAATCTGAAGCGGCTAGTCTAGCTACTTCATCTTTCAGTTCAGGATTCACCATCGGTCGTGTAGAGAATAAGACACAAAACCAGCACTGAAGAATCCTTCTCTAATATCTACCGGGTGCCTAATAAATTGCCAAAAACATCGAAGCACCGCATACAGCGGAGGCTATCACAATTCGCGTGAAACAACCAGTGCTTTGTGTGCAAAAGAAACAAGTTCAGCTAGCCACTTCTACTGTCCTGGCTGGCCTTCAGTAGAGACGATAAATTCATGAATTTGTAATATTGTCTTTAATAAAGAGGTAAGAGGTCAGAAAATAGACTAAGGTCAAGTTAAAATATTATCTTTCCTAATTTTTCTGATATTCAGCTTATTTTTATGTTGATGCTGTTGAACTGTAATCTATCAATAATATTGATTTGATGTTATTAAACAGCGACATTAATGTTGTTCATAACACCAATTTATTCACTACTATTATATATATATAGGGCATTTTTAATCAATTGCGAAATCCCCGAGGGATATTGATAAACAATGGTTTCCCTTCACCCAGACTCAAGGACAAGAATCTGAAACGAAGGAAAACCCCTGAAAAGGTTCAAGTTGCCCTCAGAAAGATACCGATACTTGACCTTGAATTTAAAAGTGATATCCGCTTGTAAAATGTACTCGGGAACACTATCCAACATGGTTAGCAAAGGGAGAACACAAGGGTGTATACATTTCAGTAACAGAACATTTGGTGAATTCAAAACATTCAACTCCATTTGAAAAGTTCTTCAAAGTCATATCTGTCTGTCTGTTTTCGACATAGAACTTTGCACAAATGTGCGGAAGTTCAAGTCGCCACATTCCGTGTAGCACGCGAAGCAAGAGAAGAAAGTACAAGAAAAGCATAATAGAAACAGTGAGCAGAGGTGTGAGACAAAGGAGTAATAAAGAAGAACAAAACAGTTTCATTGGAGATCATAAGTCACAAGGAGTGGATGCATCTGCACCAGCCACTGAGAACGATTTTGAGCCATGTCACCAATTGTTTCCAACCATAGATTTTTACCGTCCCGAGGACCCCAGCCTGGAAGTCTACACCTTTCTACGTGGCTTAGACCAACTGTTGTGGATTTCATTGACTGATGCCAAGTTTTTGTTTGACCGCCGCTAGCTTTTTTCCAGCCTGACCCTATATCCGCTAACATTGCTTGTCGAGGGAGGCGATGGCTTGGCATACGTAACACATGCCCTAACCATCTCAGTATTTGCAACTTCACGACTTCGTCGATTGATTTCCCCTGTTTACCTAGAACTCTACGCCTAACCTCCATGTTGCTCACCTTATTATGCCACTTTACACGGGATATAGAACGCAGGCACCTATGATCAAAGACAGCTAGTCTTTTCATGTCTTCCACTCTCAGTGACCAGGTCTCACAACCATAAAGGAGGACGGAGCGGACTGATGAGCAGTACACCCGCCCTTTGGTCGATAGTCGAACATCTCGTCTACGCCAGAGTCGGCGTAAACTAACAAATGCGAAACGAGCCCCTTGTATTCGTGCTGAGATTTCGTCAGAGATCAACCCGTTGGCACTGGCTGATGGTACTTCCCAAATAAGTGAAGCGGTCAACGTGCTCTACCACTTCACTTCCCATTTTTAAACTAGGCGTCGATGTAGTCCAGTCCTGTAACATCATCTTGCATTTGGCGGGAGCGAATCGCATGCCAAACATTCGTAGATTGCGGCTCAAGGTGTTTAGAAGACTCTGCATTTCGTCAGCGTCTTCGCCTAGAAGGACTATATCGTCTGCATATTCCAAGTCAACGAGATTATTCCCCGGTAGCAAGTCAATTCCTGAGTCACTGAAGTCACCTAGGGTTAAGTCCATTAACACATCTATGATGAAGTTGAATAGAAAAGGAGATAATGGGCATCCTTGACGGACACCACTGGTCGTCATCAGTTCAGATGACAGCTCGCCGTAAGCCCTCACCTGGCTGTATGAGTACGAGTAGAGTGCCTTAATCAGTGCAATGTATTTTCTCGGGATTCCCTTTACAGCCAAGCATCTCCAGAGAACTTCCCGATCGACAGAGTCGAATGCTGCCTTTAGGTCAAGAAATATAATAACTGTTGGACGCCGGTAAGAATGACTATGTTCTAGAATCTGTCGGAGGGTGAAGATATGATCAATACACCCTCTTCCTGGTCTAAAGCCTGCCTGGCTCTCTCGTGTTTGTGCTTCCCGAGCACCACTCAGTCTACGCATGATTATTGAGCCTAAGACTTTAGATACTATATTAGTCAAGCTAATCCCTCTGTGATTATCACAGGAAGACTTGTCTCCCTTCTTGTATATGGAGATAATCAGTGACTTACACCAACCCGATGGGACTTCATATACAAGATCCGATCAAACCTCTCTCTTTAATTTTATATTCATATTCCTATTGAACAATTTTATCAATGTAAATGTCCTACTTTAATTATCACTCCTGTAACGGGAAAATTAGATGCAATACTGTATTGTACTACGTGTTGAAAACTCTGTATTTGTACCAAAACTGACTGACTGGTTTCAACGTAGAACTTTGCATAGAATTGCAGCAGTTCGCATCGCCACACTCCCTCCATGTAGTAAACAAAGCAAGAGAAGAGAGCAAAGACAGATTCAAAGGACAAATAATAAACAGAAGTCTGAGTTAGGGAAAGATAATAGCAGTATGGAAGAACAGCAATAGAGTCTTATCGGATAAAACTGGCAAATCACAAAGAGTGGATGCATCTGCGTCAGCTATTGACAACAAAGATTTTTAGCCAACCATATCACCACTAACTGTCTCCAGTCTTTATTGGTTCTTAACATCCCGAAGACCACAACCAGTCAGTCAGATCAGTCTACACCTCCCTACTCTTCGAAATAAAGCTATTATTATTATTATAATTACACTTAACGCGGGTAAACTGCATGCCCACTACCAACCATACCTAGTGCTTTGCTTAGTCTTTAGAAGACTGTATTTTTTGTAAGTATCTTCACCTAAAATAATGATGATTAAATATCATCATCTGTGTACCATAATCTAGGTCAGTAATAATTTTATCTTTCTAGTAAGCTAATCTTCAATCTG